TTGGCCATTTAGACAAGTCAATGGCGTGGCTAAGGGCAGCCCATTGGGTCCTATTCTGACATACTCATGGCTAGTTTGGAGAATAAACCCAGTAGGACAATAAACGGCATGGTACTCTACAGGAGACACGTCGATGACAAGCTGATAATCACCCGAAGCGCCAGGGAGACCGAATAGTTGTTAGCTGAATTGAATTCACTTCCCAGGGACGTCCAATTCCCTATGGAAACTGAGCAGAACAACACTCGTATTTCTATATATTTTTATTGGGCGAACACCAAACGGAACTATCTCGAGGTCCGTGCATCGAAAATCCACGTGAACCGGCCAGTATATGCACTCTGGGAGTTTTACTCCAATCTAGTCAAAACGAGTTCTAGTGCGTGTTTCATCGAGCTAGGAGTTTGTGTACTCCGGATTATGCGGAGAGTGAGCTAATTCGGCTCAAGGAAATTCAAAAGCTCAATGGTTACCCAGCGTGGCTTATACAAAGTTACAGTGTACAGGACAAACCCAAGACCTCGGGGATAACAGCTTCAAAATGAGACGTTTTCATTCAACTTCCATTCAAGGGTGACGATTTAGGCCAACTTGTTCGAAGATAGTGACATTGGTAGCCCGCCCATTTTACTGTAAACCCGGTAGTTCGCTTCACCACAACCTAGGTTCCGAAGCCCTTGGTCAAATCACTACTCCCTCTGTCTGCCAAATCACACGTCATCTAATAATTTCATTGTCGGTGTGGAGCCACCTAGGTGGGTAAAATAGAGAGGTAGCTGTGCATCCGAGTGGCAGAACACATACCAGTATGGGTCGAACGTAAACAGATCAGAGTGAGGGCTACAAAAACAAACAGACTATCAAACCAGTCTCACAGAGCACCTGCGATATCAATTACTCGCCATCTGCTGCAGTCTGGTCACCAAGCTGATCATGGGACATCTTTCCGGTTTGTTTACACAACCTCGAATAGATGACTGCTGAGATTTGCAGAGGCCATAGTAATCGAGCACCGAACGCCCCAGCTTTGTCAGCAAAAGGAGATCTACGTCAGTCTGGCATTGCCCTGGTAATCACGTAAGCAGAAGAGTGAATTGCCACCATGTTAGATTATCAACACCTGTGATATATAAAATGATTTGTATTCTGCTGTAAGCACAAGCTGAGATGCAGTGAAGTGATTCCATAATTAAATGGTGCTTGTTTGCAGTGTTGTGTTCTTTGTTCAACCATGGGTTTGACGCAAACTATGGGAACGGAAGAAGGAAAACAATAAGACAGTGAACAGGAGAAATAACGAATTTTTTTGTTTGCCTACTGCACGCCATTTTGAGTTTTTTTGTTTTTGTTTATTTTTGGAATCGGACACAGGAAAGGATACATTCACATCACTGACTTCGATTCGATGCCATATCCCGCAGTGTCTCCAGCCAAAGGCAATCGGAATCTTTTGGGCTCCAGCCCCGGGGAGCCCCAACCGAAGTCAGATCCGAGGACAGTTTATATAACCCTCTACGCGTCACTGAAATCTTGGACTGACTTTGTAGACATTTTATTCTCGTTAGGAATCAGTAGTAGTAAGACATGCAAACCCACAATACCACCCGAAGATCCTCTTGCTTAATTAGGTTAGGTGACTTAAAAAGCTTTCTTTCTCATTTATTTCAACTTCGATGCTCCTAAACATTCACCACCGTTTCCTTTTACGACAGATTTATTGTTAAACACATTGGTAATCAGACACCTGGGTCAGATGCCCTAATTTAGTAATGCCTCATCCCAATTCAAACCTTCGCACAACAGAAAAGATGCTCCAACTGCATGAATTAACTCGTCCATTCGAAGAATAAACGGATTTGGATGTGCGCATTGAAGATGACAATGCTTCATCCGAAGGAATTTTCATCATTCGAATTAACTCAACACTAGTCCATGTGTAGTGTGATCAGTTAATTGTACGGTGAAATCCGGACAATCTTTGACATTTACGGGGCATCACTTTTCCTCTACAATATAACGGTATGCCCACATAATCACCTCAATACCAACGCATGATGACATTTGTTTTTCCAACCATTAACCATGCACTTTCGCGCGCCAGGTTTAGTTGCTNGGTCGCCCATTTGAATAAAAGAGCAGATTGAAAATTGGAATGATGTTAGTAGTGTATCGAAAAATCGATGCTCCATGTGTTGTTTTATTGTGAATGTTATAACGTTAATAATACAGCGAAGTCGGTAGAGAACTATATTTGCCCGCGGAATCGAGATCCCAAGCATTTGGACTACCCTAACATCCATAACGAGTAATCACGATAAAAGGTCACAATGCCACTTGACCCCATCTGATAATGGGAGTTAGTATGACAGACAACGAATCATTCAGCTCACCGCACAGACACACGCACACAAACATACGATGAAATACCCGTTGACTTCTGATCCTTTCCTCTGAGTCATTTGATTGTATAACCTACCTTGAGAAAGGTTACCCACGGTAACCGAAACGTCGGCAAATGTAATTCTCTACCGCTATCGCTCTGTTATTAAAATTGTAACTTTCTCAATGAAGATTGCAATGTTGAGAGCGGATTCAAGGGAATATAGAGGATAATTCACATAAACTGAGATCCCCAGCCAGCGAGCCTAACAGAGCCTATGTGGTCTGGTCTCCTGGTTAGCGTTTTCATACCCTCATGCCAGGTTTTCGTTTGATTGCCCTTGACCCTTTTAAAACCGCTACCTTCCTCGGTAAACATCACTCGTCGTGGCACCCTATCTGGTGACATGCGTAGCACATGCTCCAACCAGCATAATATATGGAGATCGACTACTTGCTCTAGCGGACGACCACGATTACCTCAAACTCTGCACCTTACCTCAGCATTGTTCGCCCGGCTACCCCACCAGACTCCTGCAATGCGACGTAGACAGCGTTGTTCGAACTCCGACAATCTATCCTTATCCTAATCCCGTAGTGGCCAAGTCTCTGCATCGTATGTTGTATCCTTCCGCGAGCACGAGAATTTTCACTTTTCGCGTTCGATCCGTTTGCACGTTATTTGCTATTGTAGGTTGTTTTTACCTGCGTGCCCCAAACGCAGTTTTTTGTTACCGGTACATTCCCAGTGCCGTTTTGTACCTCAATACACAATCGGCGCAACCACATGTGTTCCGGTTGAACTAGCATTAACTTGCATGTTCACCGGCTAAGGGATCTGCGTAGACATTCGTCACGAGTGGCCGTAATCAACGTACTTCATGTGTGATCTGAACATTTTTAGGATGCCTAGTTTATGCGCCTTTTTCTAAGTTATTTAAAAATGCATTTTTGGCTGGAATTGTTGTACTAAAACCCTTTCCATAAGGAAGCCAAATCCAACCACAATCTCTTTAACCCTCTGCGCCACGATATAGCCTGCCCACCTCACTGTTTCTTCCAGCCTGGAACAATGTCTGCCAATAGTGCACGGTGTGGCAGACGTTGCTGAGACATTGGTAGGACGTGCCCCAGCCACCTAGGATGATGATGTGACATTTTTCGCTCAACGTCAGACTATCTGATCTTAGCACAACTCGTCTGACCTCATCATTATTCCCCCAACTTGACTGTTATTTTCTCTGCTCCTGTTCTTATGTTGTTCGTTCAACATGATTATTTTGACGCCGTATATGTAAAGACTGGTATTATACATAAATACATATAGACATATATATATAGAAAAACAGTATCTTAAAAAGAACTTCTACGTGACGAAGGAAGATAGAAATCTATCTGGTTCCAAAAGTGGCCAAAGTTATGGAAACCCATTTACGCAAAAGAGGGGTCTGATGGATAGACAAGACAGGTCCCCTTATTAGTTTTGAAGAATATATTTATTCGTTCCAAAATAGATATATTCTTCAAACTATGCGACGTTTTTTCCTATCAGACGATAAACCACCATTTAGATGTGCACCATTCGATTCAGGTCGAATGCACTGTTGATAGCTTGGTGGTTTTTGTGGCATCGTCTGCGCAATGCGATTCAATCCCCCAGAATGTGGTGGTACTAAAGAACGGGGACATTTTTCCCCAAATGAATCGAACAACGAGTCCGATCCACTGATCGGATAGTTGGAACTCGGTGTTAATGAGTGTACTGGGGCGGGTAGAAATACCGCGATCGGATAATCAGGCAGTAAAATCCCCGTGGCTTCGTGATAGCTAGGTGGTGGTGGTGCGTATGCTTGAGTCGGATCACCATGACCGGTAGTGAGACGAGATGAGTAATTCAATAGAAATTCCTCTTCCAGTGCACTGGGTAATGGCATACAGTCCGAACAGTTGGCAGCTGATCCCGCCCGATCCGGAGAGTTCGGTAGAGCTCGTTTGTGCCACAAATCACGACAACGTTGACACTGACGGGTTTGACAAAACCACGTGAGAAGTGCGATAGATAAGACAACGATGGGCAACCCGATCATCGGTATGATCCATGTCCAACGCTGATTGGTCGATGGAGTCACATGAAAGCATTGTGTAGCATATTCATCTGGAATGCGTTTGTGTGCATCTCGAGGACAATTTGGATAGCTATCACACATCAATTCGGACGGGATGCACAACAACGTGGACCAGGTGGAGTTCAGTGTTTGATTGTTTTCAGATTGGGAATGGCACGCAAAATATCTCTCCTCAAGATCTGCTTTGTTGTCTGTTTCGGAAGTAGGTGACAAATCCGATTGGTGCTGATTCACCAAAATATCTCTGTCATGACAGATGTAGATCGGGGTGACAATCAGAGTGAGGTGTACAAATCGAAGTCCAATTAGACCTCGTGGCACATTGTGGTCTAGTCCAATAAATATGGGACCCGGTTGAATTTGTCGTCGATAGATACGGACGAGAAATTCACGTAGACTTTTTCCAGACGGTCTAAAGCTAACATTGTACAATGGAAACAGTTTTTCGTTCACATATTGATAGAACTTTAGTTCGGCATGTATCCTCGATGCCCAGATGGTATCTTTACCCTCCCGCATATAGGCCTCGTTAAGATTGAATAGTATATGATCCACTTTCGGATCGGTCGGAAAGAGGAAACCGTAAACACATGAATACGGTCTGAGACGATGCGCAAGTTCGAGCCCCTCCGGGCTGGTACGATAAGCATGTGCTCGTATCAATGAAAATGTTCG